ACCAGATGAACAGGCAAAACATGATATTACAACTCAGATCACGGCAATTCTTCCGGTTGACGAAATCTTTATGGAGTCATCGTGAATTCACCATAAAAACGAAAGTCCGCATCTATATAACCATGATCCGTTCGATCTTACTATATGGTTCTGAGACATGACCAATGAGAGTGGAGGATATCAAGAAATTATTTGCATTTGACCATTCTTTTCTAAGGTACGGATATTACGGATTCGTCGAGCGGATAAAATATCACATGATCGCATCAATCTTCGTTCAAATGCCACTTGCATAAATAATGTTATCACAGAGCGCCGCCTTCGATGATTAGGGCAGATTCTACATCGTCCACCACAGGAGTTGATGCATATTTCGTTATTTGCTAAACCGTGCGATAATTGGCAAAAGCGAGGTGGGCCAATCAAGACCTGGACTGATACGGTGAGAAAAGATTTTGAACGTATAGATGGACCAGCAATATATGGACTTAGACGATGGAAAAAGGAATGGCTTCCATTACTGTCGACGATGGCATCAGACCGCGCCGCTTGGAAACGTGTTACCCTTGTAGCCAGCCTAATCAGTAATGGTGAGAGCTGTTAGAAGAAGAAGAAGAAAAAGAAATGCATCATAAGTGAATAAAAGGGTATGAATAAGAAAAATAATATATATCGGATTTCAACAAATAAAAAAATTTAAAATTTAACATTTAAAAATTTTTCTTCAATATTCACCTGAATTTCGAACATTTATTGCACTGCAGCCAGAAAGGTAATAATTGATCTTGAATATAAAAGCGAACATTCGGAGTACAACGACTTTCATCGACCCACACCATTTTCCATTCATTATACCATTTAGAATATGATCGTCCACTATATGAAAAAGTTAGAATTACAATGCTAAAAAGTTTCATAATCCATTTGAAATGCTGAAAACAACAATTAAATGATCTCTGCAAAATTATTAAAAGCTGAGGAAATAGTGAAAATTTCTTTCCAAATTTATTTATTCAAAAAAACTTCATATACTCGTAACAATTACCATTTTAATGTAAAATAAAAATAGTGAATTAGGAATGAAATAATACTGTTAGATAATTCGAAAAAATCTAACATCTAAAATCTAAATCTAAAAATTAAAAAAAAAAGAATTAAAAAATCTTTTAAAAAGTCAACAATTAATTTAACTAACGGTTTATTTATTTCGTTGTAACAATTGTAGCAAACATGTTCTCCTTTCGTTATATGATAAAATAATTTGTAATTAACATTTTCAGAAATATTTAGAGTATTTTCCTTTTGACAACATCTGAAAAATATTAGAATATTAGAACCTCCCTCTTAAATTTTGAGACCTATAACAAAATTCATGAAAAAATTTTTTACGCAAAAGGATGAATAAGTGATTGCATAGTATTATCAACTTGATAAAAGAAAAATTACTTTGATGAAATCCTTATAAAGCATTCTCTGTTGATACATTCATTTCTTTCACAAGATCCTTCTCTAGTCTCTGCAGCATCCAAACTGTTCTGATAATAATAATTATTCAATTTAGATTTTATTCTTTAAATATTTTGCCTGATTTATTCGAAATTCAAAATTTTTGTTCTTTAATCGTTAGCACAGATAATCAATAGGGAATAGAATGGCTCAGTGGGTTGTTGCTCAATTTGGAACGCCGATGCTGAGGTTCAATTCCCCGCAGGAGTAAACCTGTACAAAATCCGAGTGATGCTGGCGACTCACTTGTACTATCGCCAAGGGACTCCCTGACATATTGCCCAATTGCGACAAGCCAGTGGAATGAGTTTAACCAGTAATGGTGAGGACTCTTAAAAAAAAGAACGGGTAATCAATAAATTAAATCCTACTTATATAAATTCTACTTATTTTTCCACTTTTTTCTCAATTTTTTCTATTATTCTATTCCATTCTATTATTACGAAGAAAAAAATTGTCTTGACAAGCATCAAAATTATTAAAGAAAAACCTCAGCCACATCTGGCGACTTGGAATCTTTTAATTTTTTTATCTTGATTTTTGCTTCCTTGGCACACTGACGTAAACGGCGAACTCCAATTGCTTGGTTCTTTTCTATTTGCACTTTTTCTTTATTTTGAACCATTTCCATATTCTTTTTTTGTTTTAATTCCTGTATTTAAATAAAATTTAAATAAAATACGTATTTTAATCACACATCACAACTTACGCAAAAATAGAAAGATTTTACCATCATAAGACTGCTTATTAAACACTGCTTGGAAAACAGGAATTTTAAAATGAATAAAATGAATAAAAATAAAATGAAAAATAGACCTATAATTTCGCTAGATTAAGAAAAACAAACCAATGTTTCGCATGTTTCACCTTCAAATCGCATCTTCTTTCTGCATACTTCATCAGAACTACTAACTCTTGGTCGCAGCCGTAGTTTCAATTCGTTTTTCTCCTTGACCTTATTCTCGAATTTCTTAAAACAACAAAGAATATTTTTCTAACTGAACTGAATTCACTTAAGCAGGTAATAAGAAAAAAATAATTTAAAATAACAATAAATCTAGAAAAAAATCACAGAAAAAAACTATTGTAAACTGACTTTTTTAGATTCATTTTCGAGTATTTCAGGCCTGATTTTTTTTTTAATCCGATTATTATTTCTTTCCATTATATCATTTTCATTATCCAAAATTTCTTCATCACTCACTTTGAGCAATATTAACGCGTTTCCATAGGAAACAACTGCACTTCGCTCCAAGCTACCTATTGATGTCTGATCTTGCTTAATGGTGTGGTGGTCCAGCATTTCTCCATCTTTTTCTATTTCTTGAGCGGTTTCTCGGTCCTCGCTCAATTTTTTCTTGTCTTGTTCTATCGAACTACTTGTTTCTCCATTGTGAGGAGGTAAACTCTTAGATTCTGCATTATAATTATCTTCTGCATTATTCAATTTTTTATTTTTATTATCAACTTCGCCATCATTTTCTGATAATTTATCTTTTTCCTCCAGTGAAAAAGACCGAACCCTTCCTCCTCTATCCTTTTGATTTTTAGATAAAATATTAAGTGAGCTGCTTTCCGTTTCTTCAACACTAATATCTAATTCGCTCTTCATAACTTTTGAAGAAACATCAGTTTCTTCGCGTTTACTGGCTACTATCGCATCTTTTCCCAGCAAATCTTTAGAAATTAACTGGTTTTCCTCTTCATGGGACATCTAAAAATTATTGCTTTCACGAGTTCTTTTATATATTCATAACGATTCATTAAAAAAAAAAAAACTTTTTTACTTCTTCGATTTGTACAACAATTTTGATAAAATAAAATCATAAAAGGAAAAATAAGTATGAAGGAATCAATGAAGGAATACCTAGATTACTAAAAACTGTTCAAAAAGAAACCTGTTCAGGAACGGTATAAGCATTGCCAACATGTAGTTTCTTTGACATTAATTTTCATCAACTGCACGACTAAAAAATACAGAATCTGAAGCATTTTATTGCTTCATTCGTGCTAAATTCTTAAATTCATAGAAAAATTTTAATTTTTTTACTTAAAAGCTATGATCATTTTCGAACTAATTAACAAAAAATTTCTGAGAAAACATTTAATATTCGCTGAGAAAAAAGCACATGAAATCAAATTATGTAATTTTGAATAATGCAATCTGGTAAACACCAAACGCTGACCGCACTTTTATTTTAGGAACGGGTCTCATTCTCAGCTGAACAAAAATGAAAAACCATGAGTCCATGAAATAGAAATATGTTCTGATTAGAAAATAGTAACAGGAAATGCAAATTGCGCAATATGAAGCAAAAATGAAAGTGCGAATCACAAAAATACAGCCTCGATAGAGGAAGACCCCACATCTTCTCATAGAAAATAATACTTGCGGTGAGTCTCACTCGAATTTCGAGCGTCGAGTGAACTGCAAACGTGTTGCAACCAAGTGTATTCAAACAAATCAGAAATGCCAAATAGTGCCAAAAGAAGAAGAAATCACCGGTGAAGAAATAAATATTGAAAAAGGAAGAAGGCATCGTGTAAATGGAGCCACTCAGTGCCGGTGTGAACTAAGGAATATGAATACAATTTTTTTCCAACCAGTCTGACTTTATACAGAATTTTTGACGTAAATAAAATAAATATAAGATAAATATCAAGATTTACATGATTCTTTATTTTTTTTATTACGTCATCGAGTCATTATATTAGGAAATCATAGACATCAGACGCTTCGAAGGTATATCACAGGTGTATAGAGCTGAGCAATGAAAAAGACCGTTGCTGGTGTGATGATGCGATCCGAAATACGAAGAGAATGTCTGAGAATGTCTGGAATAGGCAATAATCGAAAATTCTTCAACCTACTTGGCTAAATAGCCCGATAGTTCGTGGAACGACGCCAGCTCCAACTCCAGCTTCAGCGAATCCAGGGAATGAAACGAGTGTTGGCATTTTTCATGATAGATTATTAGGACACCGAGCATTTCGTGCGAACGCGACCAGACCATTAATAAATAGCCGTTAAAGAAATCTTATTTACCATTCCCAAAATAGGAGACAAAATTCTTTAATCTAATTCCACTTATTTATTTATACACATTATTTACTTCCAACTTTTTTAAAGTACCACAATCCAAAGAATAGATGCGAACTCTCTGACAAATTCTGGTGAAGAAGATGAGTGAATGGCAAATCGCTTAAATTGCATGCGATGAATTATTACGGACTCGGTGTCCCTAGATGGCATTGGTTGCCAATCTGCTGAGACGTACCTGCACTTGCGTCTCATGTGAGTCTCTGGTGAAGAGACCCCGCCCCCACTAACCAGTACAACCAAAAACGGTGAAATGAAATAAAATTAATTTTAATCTAGCAAATAGAAAGCGCTCAAAAACTGGAAATTCAAAAGCTTTTCAAAAGTGCAGTCGATATTCTGCAAAATTTGAATAATTGATCTGCGTCTTAAAGGGAATTTCTGAGTAGTTTTTTTTTGTATCGACTTGATTTTTTTGCAAAAACATTAGAAGAAATAATTATTTTGGTCGAAAAGTTGGTAATCGAATCGAGTGAAAGTTTCGGGAAGCAGCGAGGCGAATTACGTGGAGGGGAGCCGTTATTTTTGGTAGAAATTTCCATTGTGTTCCGCCTGGTTTTCCCTTCGTTTTCCACCCCATTTTGGTTTGTTGTTTTTCGGAAAAAATCCACATTTTTACTTCGTTTATTTATTTCAGCTGCGCATATTAATTGATTGGAGTGCGAAGAGAATTATTACTTTTTCTCAGAGTTCGCATTTCGGACGATTTGTGAATTCGGGCAACTCTTCTTTTTTCCTCAATTTTTTTTTAAATCGCATTTATTGCCCTTTTCATGGAAAATGAAAAGAATTGTTTCTTTTTTCGGCGCCCTGATTCGATGCCATTCCTGAAATTGATTGAAGGCTTTTCTTTTCCCACCACCTGGAGGTATAAGGTATATGGAAATTGCGAAATGCGACTGTCAACTCATCGTCTTCCTTGTCGTTTTTGATACTCTCTATTTCATAATTAGCAAAGAGCGAGATATGCGTCAGTTCCTGTTATGGACGATAAAAAACATAGTCAAAGCAACGTATACGCTTTATGCCAGAAATTATAGAAGAAAGAAAGCAACTTTGACGCACATCAAATCGAAATTTGACTATATGGAACTCCGTCATATTGCATGACCTGCCATAACTTACCAAAGTGCGACCCTGTTGGTCAAATAAAAAGCTATAAACTCGATGGTACTGTAGATTGTCAGTGAAAATTTGGTCAGACTCGGACCTCGTTAGGCCTCACGTATTATCGCGAGTCTGGTTAGTAGAAGAGGGGCGAAAACCATCCTAGAAACATCTAGCAAGCTGATTTCTTGATAATTGTCGCGCCCTATCATCTTTCTTGGGAATCGCAGAACTGCGTTGTTCCAGTCACATGGCATTTGTTCCCTCACACTACACTAATGAACACAATTTTTATAAGTATACTAAGGGACACTGAGTAGTTTGCTCGAAGATGAGCAGAATCGATAAACCGATATAGGACCAATCATAGGTCTCAGTTTTGTATTCGATTCTTGCTTTTGGGCACGATTTAATTCGATTTTTTTGGTAGGTAATTATAATTATAGGATATACATCGAACGATAATTACGATACTATAACGAAAAAAGACCTAAACCTAACGATTCAATATAAGACGATCAATAAGACGATCATGCTATATTCTTTTTTCGTTGCAACTACCGAAGGATTCAGCTCGCAGATCATCTCTGCAGATTTTATTGGTCTTAAGCTTGTGAATTATGGTAATTATGCTATGCCCAATCGTACTGCTCTAAATGCATTCCAGCTATATTCGGGGATGTTGACTGGTCAGTCATAGTTAAGTTTGGATATAGTGAATCCTTTCTCTATCGGGAAGGGCAATCTTTGATAATCTTAAAAAGATTTTCATCCTTAATATTGGCCATTTCCCAAGCTTTACTTGCATTGCGAAGTTGGCGGAATATTTTTTCAGTGATCGCGTGCTCGATCTTTTGTCTATATCGGAATATCCTTATTGTTCCATTATCGAATTTTGTCTGCTTTGTTTTGGCGCAGTAGTTGCGAACCTGCGAGCTACGAGCTGCTAATGGCTATCACTTCAAAAATTCTGACACGAAATTGTTACAGCGTGGACAGCTGGGCCTGGGTTTCATTTGAGACCCATCTTGCAATTTATCCTATATCCTAGAGCTGATTTAGCAGATTTCTGGAGACACGATTTCAAATGCGACCGGTATTTCTCGGAAGTTCAGAGAAAAATGTTGTTAAAGTCATTTAGCTGTTTCAGTAGCTCACTTTGAAATATGCTAAATGCCTAAAATTTTTAATATGAATTAGATTTTGTAGGGTGCCATATTTTATTCCTTTCAGTTTCATTTGGGTCTTGCTTTAACCATAGCATGGTCTGACTTGTTGAGGTTGCCAGTTTTGGCTCCTCATATTTAATTCATATAAATTTAATAATAAATGAATTTCAGAAAATAATTGTATTTCAAAAATAATTAAGAAAAAAATCAAGCAAGGTGGAAAAGAAGTATGAAACAAACTAAATTCTAAATTACATTTGGTACATTTTTTACGCTGATATTTTTTAGATTGATTTTTTTACATATAATATAATTGGCATTATCAATATTTTTTAGAAATATTTCCAATATTTAATATGATAATGAAAGTGATATTTGATATAAAGTAGAATAAATGATTAGTTTTTATCATTCCTGGTTAGAATAACACAACCGGTACGATGAGAAATTTCTATAAAGTAATCATTTCTGCTAGAATTACAGGCGGATCGCCAACACTTATGTGCTTTTTAAACGATTCTTTTTTTCTTGCTGGAATCCCGCAAGAGTTCGAATTTTGGCTGTAAAAGGCGATAATTTGCTATTGTACTTCTCTCTAACTTTTAATAATATAAAACTATATGCTTTTTAAGTTAGATTTTAAATAAAAATAAATTAAAAATTTATTCACTCTATATGTACATGATATTTGATGCCGTAATTCTTTTAGCAATTTTAGATTTTAACAAATGATAATTCGATTTAAGTGAATGTGGTTTTGAGAAACTACCAAATGTCATTTATGATTACTGTTGAGTTTTTTGTAATGAGGTAAAAAATAATTTTCAATTTTAATCGTTTTTAGGCTGATTTTCTTAAAATAATTATAGTTATAATAATAACTGGTCTGATAATTATATTCTAACACTTAAGTGCTTAATGATTTCGCTATAAATCGCTATAAATTTGGGTTTTGGATATTTTTAAAAACAAATTAATAACGTTATCGACCAATCGTAATGACGATGATCTTCGTAAATTAAACGGAATTTTAACTTTGTTAATATGCTGTTCAAATCAGTTGAAGTTTACTTTTTTTATCCATATTATCCTTTATTTTTACCGTAATTTCAAAGCTCAAACATGCAATGATTTTTTAGTGAATATTCTGCAGTTCTGTGTTTGATTTTGGATTAAAATCAAAGATTTCTTCTTGATGCCTTATTTTCAATATCTTCATTGAAAGTTCTCGATTTGTCGCAAAATAGATTAGAAGAATTTCCAAAAGAAAATGATGATCTTGTAAATCTAGAGTATTTAAATCTAAGTAGTAAATCTTTCGAAAATTTTATTCCTATTAATATTTTATTGTCATTTTTTCAATATGTTGGCCTTTTTCTAAGAAAATTTGTGAAATTAGCTTATGTTTTATATTTTTTGTTTCTACTTTTGTACAAATTTTTTTGTAAGTTATTTTTTAAGAATTACATGGGTATCTGGAATATTGCTTCCCATAAAATTGTATTATAACTATTCCGACATCAATAGGTGATCTGAAAACGTTGAAGGTATTGGATTTATCAGATAATCATCTGAAGGAAATCCCAAGTGAAAACGTTAACAAGTATCAAACTTATTAATGGACTTAAAACTGAATCAATTCAAAGTTTGATTTTAATTTTTATTTCTATTTTTATAATATAATATTATACCGGTGTTTATTCTGTCATATCTAAATTGTGGATGTTTTCTATAGCAATTCTAAGAAAATCGTACATCAATTTATTTATTATTATTTATTATTATCAATTTATTATTGTTATATTGCAGTATATAGAGAGCGTACATTATCTGGCGAAGGATTAAATAAAATAAATGAATATGTGTATATCGATATTCCCCCTTGCCTTATGAATAATGAACCTGTAATTCTCGCAAAAGAGGAAGATGTATGGGCCTCAGTGCATGAAAAAGATGCAAATGAGAAACTTCGCATTTTGGATCAATTTAAAAAAGTCAATATTTTGCTTTAAAAAGATTTTTAGGGTTAATAAATATTATTTTTCCAGCATTTTAAGCTTCCTTCTTGTAGGACGAAGTTGAATTAAATAATCTTATTCATAATTCTGCTATACAAAGAGATCAAAACATCGATATTATGATAAATTTTATCAATGAAAGTAAGGTTCTTTGGTATTTATTTGTTTTATAAAGATTATTTATATGGGTTTATCCGTCCTATTCCATTTTTTTTCTTATTCTCTTGTTTTTTCTTATTCTTTTTTCATTTTTATCCTCTTTTATATTCTATCCTGGCCAGCTATTATTAATTTGCAAATTTATTCTTTCATTTTTATTCATTTTTCGTTTATAATCTTGGTTTATTTTCAAATTTTATTTGCTTTATTATTATCTCTGAATAAACATGATCTTCAGTCTATAAATGGTCTGTAATAACCAATTATATTTTTATATAAAAATATTTTTACTAATCTTCATCAAAAGTTTATGGCATTAATTTACATCAATTTTTGAATTCTTTCTATTTAAGATTAGCTTATCTTTTCAGTAGGCTTATGCTTAAATGCGCTGAAGTTTACTGATTGTAATATGATTATCTAACACTGAAAAACCAATTATTATTTTCAGTTAACTGCCACGATGAAAAAATTGTGAGTGATACTTCACTTATTTCTAACTGTAAATTAGCCGATGATGATTCCAGATCCAACATGTATGTTTTATATTTCTATATTTTATATTTTAGCTCGAAAAATAACTCAACTAAAACTAATTAAATTTAACTGACTATGAGAAAATTAATAATTAATCTTCAGACCTCATCGTGAAATTTCAACTTTTTTAGTGACTGCACTCATCTTTTACCTGCTAATGTAATAGAAAAGTCCAAGCAAGATCAGTCAGGTTAGCCGTTTTTAAATTGAATTTTTTTCTTCACGATTATTTTATAAGCAAGTAGTTATTCTCATTGTGATATGAACATAAAATTATTTTCTAAAAGCACAAGTGCTTTATTTTCATACTGAAGTTCTTATTATTAACTCCTTTCTAATTTTTGTACTTTATTTGCTGTGAATCATTTGTTACTTCATTTATTAATACCAATTCATTCATTTATTCATTCTTTCTACACTTCCTCGTTAGACCAGTTTAATGAATATGAGGTATAGTAAGGTTAATGTTCCGCGACTCCGTCCTATTATATTTGTGGTATTTTATAATTTTTAAGGAAAAATTGGCAAAGAAAAGATTTTTTTCGTATGGGAAAAAATTAAATGAATGAAAAAGAAATGTTTTTTCTGAAGTGTGAAAGAAATGTTTTAAAAATTTTTTTCCACTGGAAAAATATTACCAACTTGAATTTTCTACATTTGTTCGAAGAGTTTTAGATTGGCTGCGAATTACTGAAGTAGAATTTGATGAACTTATCGAGAAAAGTAATACTGCTAGACTTAAAAAATGCGAAGAAAATTTAAATATCATCAGAAAGTTAGATCATAAAAATTATTTATTACATCTATTTATTAAATTAAATTTATTAAATTTTGTAAAACTTATTAAAACTTTTCATGGTTATGCAAATTTCCCAATTTTTTTCGTTTTTTTAATTATCAGTTTGGGTTAAGTCAATTGTTTGAATTGACTTTTCATTTGCATTAATTGATTTAATTGAATAGTGTAATAACGGAAGCTGATATATTGAACCGTACAAAAATTGAGAAAGATGATGAATATATGGCTGAACTATATAAAAATATATCTCGCGATCATTTTCTTTTGGTTATTTTTTCATTTGATTTCGATTTCAAACATTTTGGTCTGAATTTATGCACTCTGTACCTTTAAAAATTTTTTCTACTTTATCACATTATCCGTCGAATTTAAACTTCTCTTTTGTTTACTTTTCCTTTCCATTTTTTAATTTTCAGAATGAGTTAGTTTTATCAATCAATAAGGAATTGAATACAAATTATCATAATATACAAACTGAAATATTATTGCTTGAAAATCCTATGCATAATTTATCAATTTTAGCTTTGAAGGTAAAAAAAAAATAAAGAATTCGTTATTATTTGAAATTATTTGTTAATTTGAATTCAAGTTATGTTTCTTTAAAGTTAAAGCATCGTCAAAATCTTGAAAGAATGGCGGAACTTTATAATGAATTATTAATGGATCGAGATTTCCAAAGGAAACAGCTTTTTTGTGATATGGTAAGTTTTTTATTTATGGTGCGTTTATAAATATGCTTTTGTATTACTCTTTTCATTATGTTGTTGGGGTTTTATATAGCGCAACTATTTAAGTAAATGAAGTGTATAATTTTTAAATTATGGCTGTTATTATGTTGCATTCCAAAGAATTTCCAGAAATCCATGATAGAGAAGGATGAAATTGCTCAGAGACATGTTGCAGCTGAGGCTTTGAGACGTCACGCCGAATCTGTTTTTCCCCCAAGATGCTCAAATTTGGTACCCTTTGATATTTTGAACAAATTTAAAAGTTATTCATGGATTTCAAAGTCTTCTATCATTTTAATATAATCATGGATAAATTTTTTAATTTTAGTACCAAAGCAATGCATTTGGTTCCTTTCTTGATGACGCCGAATCAGTTAGCAGAAAATCTTATATTCATGAGAATGAGAATGCTCATCGTAAATTTTTTATTAAGTTTATTATCAGACTTTTAAAATCATTTTTCCATTATCAGGATCCCTTTCATCCACGTTTTTTCAGGTTTTTCTCACACAAAATCCAGAAAAGATATTTTAAAGCCTTTAGAAATGAAAGGTATCATTTTTGTTCGTCCTGTCGATGAATGTGTTGTGTGTATGAATTGTCAGGTCTTGTATTTTTCATTTTTTTTCCAGTTAAAATTTTTTTTATCGAATCTTTTTTACCATTTTTAATAGTTTCTACTAATTATTTAAGTATTTTTTAAAACTTTTGAATTCTAGGTGCAGATATTGTTTGTACCATGTGGCCATATGAGCGTGTGTGAATTATGTTCGTCCTCACTCAACGAATGCCCACTTTGTCGTGCAATAATTTCGCAGAAATTTTTATTCTCGTAGAATCATTGTCTATTATTTATTTTTTTCGTTTTAACAAGTGCAGTTTTGAATTTGATAAAGAAATTGAAAATATTCCATAATTTATAAACTGGTCATGTCGAACTATACATATGTTGATTATTTTTCATGTTGATTATTATTTTTTAGTAAATTATGTAAATTAATTTGAAATTTAGTAAATTAATTTGAAAATTGATTTTCCTAAATGATAACATAAAAGATTTCCTTTTTGCGATTTTAATTAATTTTTAATTTTCAATATTATTTATCTTATGGAATTGAATTTGATTTGGTAGCACAAAAATTCTGCAAATCTGTTTACTATATTTTAAATTGATGATGTTTTAAGTTGCAATATTGGAATTAAAATTTTATGGTTTTCTTGGATTCCACTGTACGGAAAAAATTAAAATTTTATAGGGTAGTCGAATAATGGCAAAATTCGTATGTTGTCCTTATTGATTTTTTTTTCTACCATTTTGCTTTTATCTGTGGAATTTGAAGATTCATTTAAATAATTTTTTATAGCGCAAATGGAGTCAACTCGAGAAATTGCGAAAAATGAGAGGCTTGACATTTATCGTGACACCCCTCTTCGGCTTATGGGTTTGTTTTTCGTTCTTCTGTCATTTTGAAGAAATCTTTCCGTCACATAATTGTGTTGCTTTTTTTTCCAGATTCCTTTTTATTTCCAAGATGAATTTTGTTGTATTTTATTTTTTCTAAATCCTTCCAGCTCGAAATTAATTTCAGTTTGATTCTTTATTTTATTTTGAGGCTTTTTAACCATCATGGTGGTGATAGGAAATTGGAATATCCTAGCTCCTCCTACCACTACGTTGTTCTCGATAAAGATCTTTGCTGTTGTTCCTGGAATCTATAGAAGTTGTTTTTCTAGTTTAAAGGTTACAAATCCAAGTGCTTCATTTACCACTGAAATTATTTTCCATGTCTTCTTCATATTCCCCTTTCAGCTCGTAATGTTTATCTAACCTCATTATTCTTTTTAATATTCCTGTCACTTTTTATTTCATATTTATTACCAGTGCTGATTTTGAAACTTGTCTAGTATCTGATTGTCAATGACATATCTGATATTTGTTTATCTATCTGGATGAGGAAATCCCACAGAACCTTGTTGTTCTCCACAATTTTCTGAGGAATCTCCTTTCTGATTTTAGAAGAATCTAAACCAAATATTGAGTGTGTGTGTGT